CCCCCCTTGAGTGCGCCATTGCCTTAAAATCAGGTACACTAGGAACTATTCATTTCCAAAAAAAAAAGTTTAGATGGAGTCTTGGGGGAAAAAAGTTAGGCGGTGGGTATGACATACCCTGCGCGAGAAGTGTCGGGATTAAAAAAGTACAAATTTCGTGAAAGAAATGTTTTGTTTTCATTAATGTATTTTTTACCTCTGATTTTAATCAACTAAATAATACTATTTGAGTACCAGATACGTTTAAAACTTTAGTGCAGATACGGGCATTTGTTTTGGCTCGAGGAAGCGGAGAATAACGGAGGAAGCATTTTTTTAAAATGATGGCAGTCATTAGTTAACTTTGATTCTCAGAAAAGGTATAAATTGAGTACCATGTAAAATTCAATAAATGTTAAATAAGAGTGGCAGTTTTATTCAATTTATTTACTGTGTTAATTTCATATCTATAACTGCAAGCACATCAACTCCTACTATTGGTTCACTCTATATATATCTATATTTATCTGTATACATCTTGTTCAAATTTTCAATCGTTAATAAAATACTTTCTATTCATCCACTCAAGTTCAAATACATTTTTTTAAAACGTGTAGTGGATGACACTTGATGTTAATACAATTTTTTCAAATATTAATTCATTAATTAAATTTTAAAAATGAATAAATAGTAACAAAAATAATAGTCCAACAGCATATATAGAAAGAAAAATCGTTCGTTGTGTCCCTGTAGCGCAATGGATAACGCGTTGGAGTTCTAATCCAAAGGTCGTGAATCCCACCTGGGATGGCCTAATTTTTGAGTATGAGGTTACTTTTTGTACTATATTGTTTAATTAGAATAATTAAATTTAATTAATAAATAAATAGTTACTAACAAAAATAATAGTCCAACACCCTATATAGAAAGAAAAATGGCAAGAAAAATCGCTTTCTATTTTGTCACTTAATAGTGTGATTCTGTCATATGCATATAGTACATATTAATATTAATTGTAACGATTAAATAAAAAGTAACAAAAATTAAATTTTTCTTTGTTGACCTAAGTATGAATTGAATAAAAAAAAAAAAAATTATATTACTTACTTTGGAATTTGCTTAACCCGCGGTCACTCGCGCCTCTTTTTGCTACCGTCGTCACTCGCGGGGTGTAGAGAACACCCCAAACTTTTTTTAACACGTGTATTTATTTATGAAAATAAAATTAAGTCATTATGATACATATTTATAAAGTACAAGATGTTTTTTGTGCTTTACAAATAAAATTGTTAAATTTATTGCATACAAATGAGACTAACACATTAATTTAAACTAAACATACAAAATTTTCATTTCAAAACACATAATTTTATATTTTTTCATAAACTAGTATATATATATAAAACGTATATACCAGTAATAAATATACTTTACAATTAATGAGATAATGATAGTAGAAAGTATATAGAAAAATCATGTTTTAATCATTTTTCAAACATTAAGAGCAGACTGTATACATATGCTCAAATTCTCGCGGGAGTTCTAAGCCCCCCAGATAAACTTTTGAAGGTCATTACATTCCAATCGTTCGAGAAGGAGGGATTGAATCAGGCCTGAAGGTTCAATAACCTAAAATGTGCAGCTACAGAAAAAATCGTGGTTCTGCGCATTCTTTTTAGAATCCTGGGAGGATTTTCTTGTTGCTGGGGTGTACAAAACACCCCGCGCGAGTGATTGCGGGTTAATGAGACGAATGTACCCTGTCACACTTAAGTGCAATTTGTTTGTAATCAGGAGTGAGATTACTTGTTCAATTTCTCAGTACAACCTGCAAGTTATAATATAGTGTCGACCAACGTACATCACTGACCTTACTGTGCCTATCTCAGTTCTCGTGACCTTAGGCGCTGGGCTGCATGTGCAGATGTTTTGGTCAAGTGGTGAGTCTGACGCGAATCCCAAACTATTCAGTCCCCCAGCAAGCTTGGTATTAATTTATCGACCCGCTGAAAATATGAAAGGCTGAGTCGACCTTGCCCAGCTCAGGATGAAAACCCAGGGCCTGTGGCGTTAAGGGCGGTACACTACCACTCTGCCACTGGGCTTCACTTGGATCACTATCTTTGTATTTACTCTTGTTGATCTTCATGTAAGAAAAAGTTTGCTCACAAATATAAGTTGATATATTTGTGATTTATATGTGTGATTAAACAAATAAACGTTTATGTATGTGATTTATATGCTGTTATATTTGTGAAATCTTTTCATCCTTACTGCAGTACGCCCATAAATATGCTTGCTTGGGGACTTAAACACTGGGGGTCTCGCTTCAGATTGACCACCTGATCGGGACATCTGCTAATGCACCTCAGCGCCCAATGGTCACGTATATTGGGATGGACACAGAAGGCCCTCATGGGCTGTTGCGTCACTGAGTTTGAGTTATATATGTGAAATATATAGAACATTTAATGTCTATTGGTTTTTTTTTCTGATTGACTTGGTGGATTGCAAAAGCAACTTCTCGGGCCGCTATTTGCCCAACCCTGCTTTTGTAAATCATAAGCAAAGCATTCTGATTTCCGCATTATGCTATTTTTTAATATAGATAAATTATTAATGATTTCATGCATAAGTCTCGATAATGAAGAAAAAAAGAAGAAAAAAAAATATTACGAAATTTTTTTAAAAAATAAGTTTATTCCAATTTTTGTGTGTGCAGCTCAGATCAACTGGATTGTGGTTAAGAATAACGAGGTTCATCTCCAGCCAGGGACGTCTTAAGGAGTAGGCCAACTGGGCCCAGGACCTCGTCTCGTATACTCATCTAAACCTTAGTAAGATCATGATTCGAATAATTTCAACGGTCAATTGTCATTTCCAGTTGTATTCTCTGAAAAACTGAGAATTTCGGACGATAAGTCAACCGGATACGTGTGATGATCGTCGTCCACATACAGGCTAAGGCCTACTACCATACACCATCATTACTCATGCAGTCAAAAGGTGACATTAGGTCGAGCTGATTTGTGCGACTGTAAGTCATGCCCGTATAATTAATTCGGATTATTGTTTGTACAAGTATTTAACAACGTGGTGGTCTTCAAACTGTGTTCCACGGAAACCTGGGGTTCCTCAAGGAATACCCAGGTGCTCCACGAGTCACAATAAAAAATCGAGAAGAAATAAATATGTATGAAAAATGGATTCACACGTTCTCTATGAAGCTTGTATAGTTACAAGTATCTGAAGTCTGTTCATTAAAACTGAAAATTTTATTTACAGTGATAATCTTGCAAGCAAAAAATATTCTAAGAAAATATATCGTTTCTAGACAATTGGGAGGTTGATTATTTTGTTGTGAAAAACAAACATGGATCAGTAATGGTTTGATTTGTCATGAAAGAGCTGTATTTAAAAAATACCAATAAACAGGTATTATTCAATGACACTTTTCCTCGACGATCTCTTTCAAGAGGTGATAAATAGACTTTCTTGAATGAATAATCTTTGCAACAGCAACAAAGTATTTTGTCAGTGGTAATATCACGGTGGTAACAAAGACATATCCTATGAAGTTTGTTATATTATTGGTAATCATATGAAACCGTTTATACGGATGAAGAAATTATGTAGTGTTTCTTAAATGCTTCTAATTTAGTCTTAGTGACAAAAATAAAAAAAACATAAAAAATAATAATTAAAAAAAGAAAAACAGGAGTTTAAGTATTTTGATCAATTTTCCACA